ACCTTAACGGACGACTTGAAATCCTGGGGTGCCAATGCTAGTGCCCTCCAAATGGATGTAAACGCTGCCAAGCAGTGGTCGTTGGACTGGCACCTTCCTCTGAATGACGAAAAGTGCGTCGTTTGGAGGAGACTTAGCGAATACTTTTTTATGCATGGTGAGAAAGGACCAGAAAACATCATGAGGATAGATGCCAAAAAGGATTTAGGCATCTGGGTCTCCTCAAACTTGCCCTTCTCACTGCACCATGAGAAGTCGGCCCGAAAGGCATTCGCCATTTTACGGATGATCCGACGCACCTTCTCCCCTGTTACTCGCATGGACTTCCAAATACTCTATGGGGCCTACGTCAGACCGCCCCTGGAATACGCTAACCAAGTTGTCTACGCAGGACGCACGAAAGACGTCACCCTCATTGAGCATGTCTAGCGGGCCGCTACGAGAATGGTTTCCGGCCTCAAATCCATGAACTATGAAACGCGTCTCGCGATGCTCGATCTCTTTCCCCTAGAGTACCGTCGCCTCCGAGGGGACCTAATTCCTACTTATTCCCTGTTTGAACAAAGCTTGGCTAACAGGTTTTTTTACCGTTGGCCCAGCAAACACACGGCGGGGACATAGTAAGAAAATTTTCAAGCTCAGAGCACACATTCATCAGACAAAATTTTTTCTCATTTCGGGTAGTAGGTGCGTGGAATGACCTTCCTCCGACGGTTGTCCAAGCTCCTTCTGAAACCCCAGTTTAAAGCACTATTAGACATTTATTTATGCGAACCCTCGCACTGGCGAGCATACCGCCCCGCTCTGAGAACATAAATAGCAGTGCTACACCCTTTTTTCACTTGTGCCTTTCAGGTGAACGACAGCCACTGACCGACAAGAACAAAAGCGACCCGGGAAACTTGGGCAATAGCCTCGATCCTGTGTATCAACCCGTGGATTAGCAGCGCCTAACCGCGGGCAGTAAACTGGTATCGGTACTTAATTCCGCCTAACATCCGTCAATAGTTTGTAGTATGGGTCTTAGCCTTAACGGACGACTTGAAATCCTGGGGTGCCAATGCTAGTGCCCTCCAAATGGATGTAAACGCTGCCAAGCAGTGGTCGTTGGACTGGCACCTTCCTCTGAATGACGAAAAGTGCGTCGTTTGGAGGAGACTTAGCGAATACTTTTTTATGCATGGTGAGAAAGGACCAGAAAACATCATGAGGATAGATGCCAAAAAGGATTTAGGCATCTGGGTCTCCTCAAACTTGCCCTTCTCACTGCACCATGAGAAGTCGGCCCGAAAGGCATTCGCCATTTTACGGATGATCCGACGCACCTTCTCCCCTGTTACTCGCATGGACTTCCAAATACTCTATGGGGCCTACGTCAGACCGCCCCTGGAATACGCTAACCAAGTTGTCTACGCAGGACGCACGAAAGACGTCACCCTCATTGAGCATGTCTAGCGGGCCGCTACGAGAATGGTTTCCGGCCTCAAATCCATGAACTATGAAACGCGTCTCGCGATGCTCGATCTCTTTCCCCTAGAGTACCGTCGCCTCCGAGGGGACCTAATTCCTACTTATTCCCTGTTTGAACAAAGCTTGGCTAACAGGTTTTTTTACCGTTGGCCCAGCAAACACACGGCGGGGACATAGTAAGAAAATTTTCAAGCTCAGAGCACACATTCATCAGACAAAATTTTTTCTCATTTCGGGTAGTAGGTGCGTGGAATGACCTTCCTCCGACGGTTGTCCAAGCTCCTTCTGAAACCCCAGTTTAAAGCACTATTAGACATTTATTTATGCGAACCCTCGCACTGGCGAGCATACCGCCCCGCTCTGAGAACATAAATAGCAGTGCTACACCCTTTTTTCACTTGTGCCTTTCAGGTGAACGACAGCCACTGACCGACAAGAACAAAAGCGACCCGGGAAACTTGGGCAATAGCCTCGATCCTGTGTATCAACCCGTGGATTAGCAGCGCCTAACCGCGGGCGGTAAACTGGTATCGGTACTTAATTCCGCCTAACATACTCTGAGGCGACTATTCTCGTGCTTGAGATTCAGGGATATATCGCTCTGCAGCTGTAGGTTTCTTAATTTAGTACATGCGAGCTGAACCTTGCAGATTCGTGGGTTGATCGCATCTCTCACACTGCAATACGAACCCGGGCTATTGAAGGGATCGCCCGTAAACCAGCGTTTCTGTGTTGTCGCGGATGCCACTAAAGTTTGAAAGGCTGATTCCTTGCTTAAACGCTCTGCTGTAACCTGTGATGTGTTTGCCGAGATAGTCCAGATATTCGTCAGTAGACGAACTTCTCCATTGGTCTCGCTTGCTCTCTTTCACTTGAGTAAGAGTCTGCTGAAGTGCTCCATGCAAGTCCTTGAGTATGGTTGGTCCGATGATTCCACGGAGAAAAAATATGTAAGATATTCACTTCGGAGATGTCAGGACTGCTTAAACTACTCCGCTGTGAAAGGTAGCCGCTTGTTTACTCTGGACTACAGGTGTCCTTAGTAAGGACAGAATTGAACCCGAGAGGTTCCGAAGGACCCATCACTGATGAATAACCGTATGCTTCAATCGAGAGGGGGGTTGGATTAAAGTCCTTTAAGCGAGTAAGCAGGTGTGCCATCCTATCTCATCATCTACTCTTGAAGCAGAGGCTGAAGTCACCTTCCGCCAAACATTCTCGATACTCTTCCTGTAAATTGTTTGGAGAGATGTATCAGGAACCATCTTCTGAGCTTTTGGACGGCATTTTCCCCAAAATTTCTAAGAGCCGGTTATCTGAAACCGTCTTGTCTTTTTAACACCGGTTTAAGTGTGAAACAACAACCAAAAGAACTGACAACAGACCCCACAACTCTTTGTTTTCGACTATCTTGAAATATCGTTCGACGACTAGTGCCCATCAACTCTGATAAGGTCTAAACCCCGAAATTCCTTACCTCGAGAACTAGATACTGAGGGGACTCTTGTCCACTCTGCCCAATATCGGCAATGTATTACGTTGCCGGACTGAATCTTCGGCAACATTTTTTAGCAACGAGACATTTGCTCTAAGAAACTACCATTGGGTAGAACCTATTCCGAAGGGACTCTGAAAGCCCTTATGGGTACGGATTGCAAACGACTATTTTCGGAGCTGATCTGTAACGGCATGCATACTGAGCTCTTTGACGTTTTTGTTTGGGCCATGCAACCTTGTCCTTTCCCAGAAAAGATGTGTTGGTGAAAATCATTTCCCCACACCCTCCGCTATCGGGAGGGCGAGTGATGCTGATTATATGTATGCTTTGTATTTGTCGATATGATTGAATGTATACGAACCGAACTTAGTGAGTAGATATCTTCTTATCATTCCATCTGGATCAGTATGACATGTTTGTTTATCGGTTTCCAGTGTTCCGTTTCTTAGCTGTCTTGGTTTGATGAAAGGCATGACAGCCTATATTCACTGGTTTCCACATAACCTACTAGAAAGTTAATCTCAAGCCACTGTGGCATCTGTAGCGTGATCGGGAAAATCAACTCTGAAGACGCTTTCGCTAACCGGGCTATTCTGTCAGATTATGAATACCACACTTCGCCACTCTTATGGATCCGGAGTCTTCTTATCCCCTCGGAAAAAAACAGTATTTTAAGAAGTTCTTCGTGGATTAGAAGTAATTAAGCGATTCTCACATTCTTCATTAGCCTCGTTAAGCTCATCCATAGAAAAACTTCATTTGTTGAACATTCCGGGCATTCTTGGCGATGACCGTCGGATCTCTGTAACGGAGACAGTCCAGCGCACAATCTGCTCTTCACCGAAAACCACTTAAGTAAGGCAACTTTCGACATTATGCCTAATGCAGTACCGATGCCCACGTAACCTGTCAAGGCGAAGTGTAGTCTGTTAACCTGTACATCAGCGGTCATACGTGTTGCTAGAGAAAATTAATTGCGCTGGTCAATGATCGATATTTGTCTTGTCGGTAAAACGACTTTCAACAGCTTATTAATGCGTCCTGAAGTTGAATAATCGATTACGTAATAAGGAGAGTTGTTTGCTTCACATAAATAGGTATATATGAAGCCATACGTGCAAAACCATAACAATTTGGTTCCATTACGTATTCCAGCTACAGGCTAGTTCATGAGAAGCGCTTCGTTCGACATGAATTTGAACCAAAAAGGGACTGACGTTTGCTCAGGCCAAAAGTGATGGTGGTAAACTTTTGGTTTATCATATTTTTCAGAGCTTTTTTGCACGTAACAAACATACGTCAAGGCAGCCACCGCTTTCCGTTCGTTTGCTGACGAAATGAGCGCTTGAATTGCTAAATCTAGCTACGTTTCCCTTCATCTCAGGTATTCATGGGATGTATCTGATTCTGGCTTCCCAGGGTTAAAATCCGGGGTTGCTTTATGGTTATGAATTCCGACCACTGGTTAAGTCGGAGGAACACTTTGTATCTGACGATTAACGTTTCTTGTTTCATGAGGACATCGGATGGGTGGTGCTGAATGGGTGGATTTAGCAACGAATCAACTCCCTGCCTAACCCACTAATTAGTTCGGCTGTAACGAATTAGCTGAAGACAGCTCAATGGTTAAGACGCGCTCTTGCCGGCAGCAAGGTTCATGGTTCGAACCCAGCTCCAGCATCTTGACTACTCCCGTCTAGGCTTGCGTAACCTGGCAATGTCTCGACCCCCGTGCATTCTTCGGGTGACATGGCAGATATGTACCGAAAGGGCATTATAGCTGAGCTATCGTTTTTTCAACAGTTCTGAATCAGTCATGTGCTTCGAGTGTTAGGTAGTTCGTCTACCCAGGTTCGTGCTGGAAGATCCCACGAGCTTGGCAACGCATAACCTAGGACAAAGCGTGATATGACATAACCGAGGGATTCGATTGACTCTTCCGTTAACATCAACTTAAGTTGCATTTCAGTATACTTCACCAATTAAGCCATCATTCCTCCACTGATTTTTAACGTTTATTTTCGGCACTCAGCCTAGCCTCTATTCCTTGCCGCATGCTGCAGTAACCGAAACTGTCATACACACGGTTGTCCAGGTGTCCAGGTGAGTCAGCCTTTCAAAGGATGAATTTACGGTCCAGTGCGTAGTCTTAACATAGTCATCCTCATCTTAATCAGAGGCAGCCACAACAGTTTTGACATTGATATTTCATTGCCTTATAACCCCAACGTTTATTTACTTATATGCACATGCTTAGAGTGAAGAGAAAAGAATGAGTGAAGTAAGGCACCTGGTTCTGACCTGTAGCAAGTACCTCCAAACGCTCAATCAGACATCTGGAAAGTGACTGAGCACGAACCCTTATTGTATTTTGTGCGGCTAAGTGAACCGCAGGACAATGACGTGGGTTAAACACTAAACTCAGGCGGTCAGTACCTTCTGCTTGTCCAAATAGCCGAAATGCAAATTACGCGAGCCAGTAAGTCATCAAAATATTGTCATTTCATCCGTTTCCAGAGGGAATTTTCAACGAGTTTCTTGGGCTGCACTTGGCTGGACCACTTGCAACAAGGATGTTGGCCTACGTCCATCACCTCAGTAGACATAACCCATTTTTTCTGCTTTTCGTTTGTATTCCAGTTCTGCACAGTTATTTCGTTTTTCAGCAATGTGGCTCACACGCACGCTTCAGCAACTATCTCCAAAGGCGAAGACGCTAATGCAAGAAATGTTATCTGAGGCGAACAAGTTCCGAGATTACAATTTCAGAGTTTATTTTACTCGCAAAATAAAGAACTCCTTCAGCGAAATCGAAGCAGCCACGAACATTTCGGATATCGACAGGTTGATGGAAGAAAACGTTAAACTACTTGGAATCCTTCGCCGCCAAACCACATTAAATAACTTTTTCCCTCCTAATAAGTCTGCTATCGAATGAGATGTATTTAATATAGAACTGTTTTACCACTTAAACACTTTTTATCTCTTTCGTTCTATGACTTTCGGCACGCTACTTAATGCTGTCGCGTTATAGATGAATTTGAGAGAATCCATCTCAGGATTTTTCGCGAAAAGTGGAGTGACGGATGTCTCAAAGTAATTAGTGATATTAGCTTCTGCATGTGCACTGTCAGCTTGGATGAAGACCTTATTACGTATTTGGAAGAATCTCTGAAGGTTTGTGATGATGATCTTGATGTGGAAGGAATTTCTTCTGTTTGCGAAGCTTATCTTCCCAATTTCAAAGACATTTGCAGGTCAGTTGTTATTTTGCTTTTTGGAGTCTTTAAACATTTCCTTACTTGCTTTCTTACTTTCTACTCTATTTCCGCAACGATTGTAGACGAAAATGTGCTCTATTTACAAGTGTAAGGTTCCTGTCATGGAGAGGCAGGTCACATGTGATCCGATTGCTGCCTTCTTCGAAGGCCACTGTTATGTGGTCTCTCAGGGCTTTATGCGCACATTAGTAACCGATAAAAGACCCGTCGCCAGAACATGACTTTTGGTCAGTCCCTTCCGGAGGAAGTCAGTCATCTGGAAACGGTCTCTTGTCCGGTGCTAATTGGGCGAACTAACGGAAAAAGGAAATCAATAGTACTGTTCCTTTTTACATTTTATACGCATTTCTGATGTAAGTACATAAGGGGCAGCTCTTCCATTAGAGCATGTAGTGGACTGATTGCGATTGATTTCATTAGTATCATTGAATACCAATTCGTCTACTCATCCTTTTGTACGCTTTTATTCATCGACTGGCTACCTTTGCTCTGTAAGCCTTTCCTTGTGACAAAAAGGTTACCAGCTCCTCTACTCCGTTCGGTCGGCCGATTCATTCACCACCATAATTGAAGCCCCTCTATCAGGTTGAATGGTGACAAACATTGAAAGATGCTTACAAACGTCGCACATTCCCGAGTCACTAAATTTGTTGTTACATGCGCCAGTTGCTGGTGGGACTTCGGTTAATGATTCATCTCGGGACCCAACACCCTAGGAGACACTGTTTGACAGTCACCCTGTGCGTTTTAAAGTCTCATCACCGAGAATTTTTCGCATTACACGTTACCTGCGCTCTCGCTTCAGCGATCGCATGACCGATGCAGGAGTACCCGCTGCAAGTAAGCATCGATCTTGGTTTCTGTGATATCGCGGGTAAATATGGGCGATACTAGAATGGATGTCGCAAGCACAACTTTATGAGTCTAAAGGTGTAAATAACCTTCAATCACGTGTTCAGGCATTTCCAGAGAAACACGGTCGATGTTGATCGGTGTTCACTAAACGCTTATTAGACAGCCTGGATCAGTGTCAAAAAGCCCCTTAAACAGTGCAAGGCTGCTCTAACTGTTGAACTCTCACGCACTTGCTTGTTGCAATAAAGCTGTTGTGTTCTTTGTCGCAGAGTCTCTCCGGCACTAGAAACTGGAGCACGGACAGCAGTCAGTTCATAGGTATACAAGCACCTTGACCTCAGAAGTGAATGACGTTACTGATGTGAGATATCCAATCCCACCTGCAATTGAGAGGACTGGAGTGACCAAAGTAGTGCTTTATTCATTTAACGGAAGATGTATGGAGAGCCGTGCGTGGTAGATCAAACTGCTACATTTCTTCCATCCCATCTTTAGCACGATGAATATTTTTTTCCGAAGTTGGTGCATTCTATCCTCCCCAAACTTCTAATAGCTTTCTGCTCTTTCTCTGGGTCGCCAGCACGTAGTCTTCTGCCACTGCCAATTACTTCCAAACTGTATTTTACGTTTCAAAACCCCACTTTTGATTTATTTTTTGTGGTTGTTTTATGAATTTAGTTTCTGTTACTGAGTTCCCTGCAACGTAAGTTTACACATCATAACAAAACAAGCATCAAGCCTCGTCCGATTTCGCCAAATTTCGTGCGGGAATAAATACCCAAGAAAGGGTGTCCAAAGAGGCCAACTGAGAGTTGCAAAGGGCGAAATAGGATTCGATAGTTTGAGGTTCAGTAAGCTAAGGAATACAGATCTACAACCACTGTTTTCCAAAGAAACGAACTCAGGTATCAACCCATGGTGTGCATGCGGAGGTGGGCTGCAGGCTAGTTTGCGGAATTTAGCCGTCGTCTTACTGTTTGACCAACGTGACCGCTGCTCCGAATGCTTGTTACTATGCTGCTATTCCAGACTGTGTTCTCTTTCATATTACGGCCCTTGATGGCACACCGAGGTAGACCCAGGGCAAGCTTGGATCGGTGGTTCATTTTCAGGCTACCGTGTGTATTCTAGTCATTTCTCCTCACCATACTTTCAACGTTGCTAACAAGAAATAGCACATTTATGGTCTAAGGTAAACGGTGGCCATCAGGACTCCTGGGTACGATGACCATATGCATATAATCCCCCTAACAGCGGTGCAAACTGACGTAGCGTTTATCGAATTCGTAGCTAGCTCCGCTGCTGAGCCAGGTTGCTGGACCATGGGTGCTCTAATCAAATGTTCATCAACTCTAATGATGAACTGGCGCACCCACCTACTCGGGTTATATGCTCTGGATCCGTCTTCCATTTTAGTAGTTAATCTGTGATCATATCCTCAGTCCCGAGGTTGTCTTTCACCATAACGACGTTCTGAAGCATTGTTTTTCTCTCATCTGGACACTTACATATACTGAACTTTGTATCGACTTCGACCGCTTGTCTACAGTCTATCATGCCACTGTCATCCATTGGCCCTTCCACGCCAATCTACGCCACAAACTGACTGTTACTATGTTGTATTAATAATTCCACAGCCAGAACTTGCGGTCGATCATGCACTACGGTTAACCGGGATGGCTCCAGATCATACATCTCCGTCCAGCAGTGGAGCTACATAGTGTTATCATAGATGCATGCTCATATCACATCGCTTCCCCGATAATCGACGACTGAACGTCACTTAGTAATGTTACTAACATGATTTCGCTCTTCGGAGCGTTGGTTTTCGGTCTTATAATGGCGTGATCTATGTGGAGAAATGCACTGAAAGGCCGATAAGTCGGAATGATCGATTGACTCAGGTTTCAAACTATTGTTCCATGCACAACTTAGAATTGTATCCCCAGATGGGAGCTGGCCTTCAGAGAAGCAGTCGCAAAATCCACACTGTTTTGCACATAATTTTCTCTGAAGAGAATACACTGGAAAAAAGCTCATCCAACGCTCAGAGTTGCTTGTACAATCGTCAGTCATCGGAAAAATATTCTTACTGTTTTTGAACACAGCACCGAAAATCTTTAGCTCAGATGCATTCTGTTCCCATTAGTGATGCTGACCATTTTCTGCTTAAACCGATGCCTCTGTGACATCCCATTTTTATCACTAGACCATGACGCGCCATGGAATATATTGTCCTATCAGACTGTCTCACGAGTTGAGGAGTATAATGGGTCATTGCGGTGAGCATTTCATTTATGGAAAATAATCCATCGTTTTCGTTTGCCGTCATTTTTTATTCGAAGTCACACATCAGGAAGTAGTCGTCCAACTTTCATCCAATCATTTCACGATTCCAACTAGAACCGAATTCAATTGCTGGTATGCTCAAACACGGGCGGCATTTATCTCGAGCCAGACTGATAACAGCGCGACTCAGTTGGATCAACCTGGTGGGATCAGACCAACTTCGTCCGAACTAGATGGAACAAAACCGTCAGCAACCGGTAATTTTCGCGCGTTAGTCTGTTTATCACTTCGTATCAGGCTTCATGATTAGAATCGGCTTAATTATTGGCTCCATCTAGCCTATCACCGTTTGTTTTACTCTGTGGCTTTCACCTTTTTGGTATTGGTTGTTCGTTTGAATTGCCTCAAGAGCACTTTGGAGATGTGTTGTTTGCTTGACGAACAGTAGTGACTTGAGCTGATCAGCGTCCCGTGTGATTGTTTTCCCGTGCATTCTGAGACTAGTGATGCAGTTGCCATCTCCAGTCCGTCGTTTGTTCTTGCTGGATAGTTCTGTTTTTCCATATACTTCCACGTACGTCCACCTGTAAGGTTCAAAGCCAAAACTAAATCATGTGCTCACGTTAACTTATACCTTACCAGAACACTGTTTCCCGGGGAAGAGCGCTTTCTTAAGAGATTTGCTGCCATCTGATTGCCAGATAATGCCACCAGCTTGAAACTGTGAAAATGCACAGCCAAGTCTCATTTGAAATGGGTTAGGTTGTCATTTCTCGAAAGCCGCCATTAAGTGAAACTGTCAGCCAGTCTCTTTTAGTCCGCCCTGCTGGTGAAAATGAGCTTGCACTGCGTGCATCAGACCAGAGACTATGCCAGCTAAACGGGCGTGATTGGAACATGTCTGCACTCAAATTATTGTGTGCTTTGATGGGTCTTAATGGCCTTACCCAGCTTGCCTAACCAATAAAAATGTGGGCGGTTATCTTTTTCTACCATCGTGAATCTGTGGGGAGCTAGGTCGACTGAACACTCGGGGCGGGGATTGCAATACGAATAAGGTCTTCATTGCTTTCCATTTGTTTGGGAATGTGTCTCCATTCTGTATCAAAATTCAACAGGATCATTCAGTGGGAACGCCAGCAAGGGTTCCGACTGATATCCATACAATCCGCCAGAATTATCCTCACATGCTCTCCGGTGATTATTACCGAGAGTTTATTTTATTTGGCCAATCGCCGGGTTGTGACCGCTGTTTCTTGAAAACAACCGGTCGTACTCTTAGGTGAAAGGTAAGTATCAGCTCGAGGGTAACAAAAATGTATGTTGTCTCACAAGAGCAATGCCAGTTACACACACTCATGGCCAATTAATCCAGTATTCCACAATGGCAAACTGTTGGTCACTCATTATGTGTGGCTGTATCGTTTGTGTAATAACCACATGCAATCATCTAGACGACCAGCACATAATACAGCAGCGTCTGGAGTAATCGGTAACACACGTATAGGTCATGTGTCTAATCCGCCAACATTTTACCCGTAGCCGGATGACCAATGAACTCAAGTGCAGTATGGTATAATATAGCTCCGTCAACTAGACCACGTTAGGTAAATGTTCGAGACGTGTGAAACAGGGAGATCAAAAACATATCAAGAGGCTGCACCCTTGTATCAATAAATTATTTACCCAAGTGATCTATAGTGTTCCTTCTTAGCATAAGAGTATCGCTAGTGGTTAATAACTTATTCTGTGCCATAGCGGTACATGTTAAAAAGCGTTCTGAATCAACAGGCGAATCCCAAATGAGCTGATGAGTGAGTGAGGTTTGGCAATTTTTCTTTGACACCAATCTGTTGAAATGCTGAGGAGCACTGTACAACTGGTTCATCCTTACTGGGATCATCAGCACTGCGCATCTCATGAAATTCCGGGGTTTTCGAGTACAAGTTCTACTAGATAGTAGTTGGAACACCAATAACTGTTCGGCCAAGGGCGGCTGATCAGCTATACAACTCAACATAGGTTCAGAGTACTGCGTTCATCGCGGTTGGACAGAATAAAAAATGTATGTCTGTGAAATAAGACCGCTTGTTTGTTCTTTCTTTCAGATTAGCCCATGCTTAATCATAGAGAAGAGGAGCTTTCCAAAAAATACGATGATGGATCAACTGGAAGGATATAAACTCACTAGAATACCGCTTTTAGATACCTAGGTGTCTGAATCCACTTGAAAAGTATAGTTGACTGGTTATGATAGAGTAGCGAAGAATCTACAACCAACGCAATATGGAACATGACCAAAATCATCCTTTCGCGTACTTGGTATCACAGAGTGGCACTGTAGCTACAGAAACAAAGGTTTTTGATGGTTACGGCTACCCCACCTCTATTGTGCAGATCAACATGTGTATGGATTTTTAATCACGTGTTGAATCTGCATTCCATATGCATATTCTAACGCTCTCAAGTACAACTACTGCAGTTCAAAGCTTTCCGGAATTGTATTTACTTCCATACTCCAACGCGGAACTGAAGGTATTTGGCTTGAATTCGCTGACGCCGTGTTAATGTTGACCATGGTTCTCATGCTGAACGTTTTGTTGGTGCGTTTCACTGGAAATCAAGAACGTCCTAGTTAACGGAACTCGTCAATTATTTGCTCAATTGTTAGTGCCGCATTGGTTGCACAGATTTACTTTCTGACGATATCAGTTTCGACATTGCGGCGCTTCAATCAGTGTGCGATTAACTATGTGGTGTTAACTCATGTTTTCTTCGTCTAGGGCTTCCAACTGCCATTAATTCAGCTGTTTTAGGCACAGTTAGACCGCATGAGTTTTCTAACAAAAATCATCTAATAGTTCTTTTGTGATTCTTTTACCACTGTCGCAACAACAATATTGACCTGGAGTTTCATATGGCCACGAAAATGCTTTTATTAAGTTAGCAGCCACTAGGCGGAACAATTTGAGTTATCTGAAATCATTCGCGTTGCGGACTTACAGTTGGGCAGCCATTGAACTTAGCATTTCTTGAGTTGAGCGGGGTTGGTGCTGTTCGAACTACTCATCCTTCAATCGAATGAATCTTCCGCCCTAACTGAAACAGTTTTTTGCTTTAGACCAAACCCCTCGGGTCGAAAAACAATAGTTCCAGATACAAATAATTTTTGTATAGGCTTTCGACGATAAGTATCCAGTTGGAATCGTTTTGAAAACAGATGGTATCGCTCTGGACCTAGGTGTAGTGCACCTATTGGCCGTGCCTTGTTGACACTAGGTTCACTTTGCAGTTTAAACCGTACACAGGTTGGTCCAATCCGCCGATCCTATTCTTGTGCTGCTGCCATACCGGCTGAACGTGGAGAGTGGTCGGTAGTGATTATCACCACGAGGTGACTAACCAAGCTAGTTTGCAGGGATTTTAGTCTCACCTAGGATGGCCTCCGGTTAGCACTTTTTATAAAACTTATTTGGTTTGTGCACTGAGTGGTCACATGAGGTCCCGCTGAATCTATCGATAAGAATAAGTATTGGACGAAAGTACTGAGGACTCTCCTAGTCAAATTACTGCCAATTCGGTTATGTAGTATGCCGAGCAATTCCGGTACGCCATCCGAAACAAAAATCCATATCGTCTACTCTTCATAATAAGGGTCATGTTGTATGCCGAGCGATTTCGATACCCCACCCGAAACGAAAATCCATATCGTCTACTCTTCATAATAAAACCACTGGCCAGTGTTCGATATTCTACGCGATTACGCAAATTTGTGATGTCCGCTTTCGAGAAGTCCTTGTTGTTTAATGCCTAATTTCGTTTGGTTCGACCTTGCCAGAAAGGCGTGAGAGTTGCCTTCAGTTATTCCTATTGGAAATGAAAGGATCCTCATCTTTCAACAGCGTCAAACTGCCAATGACCGTACTATCGTATTAGTACGGGTTCTTTTTAGGAGGACATCATTATTTCAAAAGTGTCCATTATGAAAAGGGAGAAGTGAAATCTTGCTGCTTTTCGAAGTAGCTCGGTTTTCAAACATCGTGACCTCAGAAACCAACAAGTACCTGAAGGAAACGAGAATGAAATGATGCGAATCCGTACTAATACTTGACAAATGTTCAAATCAGAACCTCTCTTAGAAATTTTGTGGTACGAATGGTTTGTTTCGAAATCGTCCCCAATGCAGTTGGAGCTGTCTTCGAAGCCGCTGTCGGACTTTGGATTATACAGGGAACAATAGTCCCTTGGTTTCTGAGCCCTTGATCCGAACTGATATGTGTCACTAGTATAACGGGCGTTTCATCTTACTGTACTCACACTTCACGAAATACCCTGCTGCTCGGATCAATGACCTGGCATGTACTGCATTTTTCATAACTTCGCAAAGTTCGAAGGCAAGGAAAAGTGGATGTGAAATTCTCAATTGGCTGCCACCTTGCTTCAGCCTGTCTAACGGATGAACTCCTGGATATCTTCAATCTCGACTGTCTAAACAACCAACTAACCCACAAAGCCACATAGTTTGCTCCAGCGTCAGTGTTTTTTCATTCCGACTGGGTTATTTGTGTGTGTGTGCATTTACGGCTCGGTTCCCATATCTTTCTGAGGATCGAGTCCCGCCACGACAGACAGTTTGTACTACATTTAAGAACGAAACCCAAGTGTATTGGTTTATCACAGTATTCGAACCAGAATAGGAGGGAAAATCTTCCAACGAAAGTGATGTGGAGATGAAGTTAAGCGGTTTCACCTGTGACCAACCACGCGCAGTTTACTTTTGTCAGATCAAGAGGCCAACCTAGCTGTGTGGAAAGCTGTTTTTCCCCACTGCACGAGCAGAAGGGATCAGTAGCGGCGGTTGGTACACCTGAACGCATTCCGGCATACCCATTCGTTCCTTCCGGGTAAGTCGCTTCATGTTACAGGAGGAGCTGTGGTGACATCACAATCTGGGAGATTTAGTTACGATTTTCGTCTCGTCTCCCCTCAAGAACCTCTTCGGCAAAGGTCCACATCCTGGTCCGACTCCATTCAGTCTTTACCCACATGTAGTAAACGCCATTTCTCAGCGATAGTTCCACGTGCAAGCTAGTGTTTTCATAGTTTTTCTTTCACCCCGCAGTTGTCTGTTTGTATCACAACACCCGTTAATATCCTTCCATCAGTCGCTTCTGATATTCCACTTTTTTTGAACTCTCACCTTAGATGACGATTCGGGTGATGACAATGGCATCTGTGACACATCACTTGGCGCTCTGATGAAGATGTTCCCCCAGGTAACGCAGCTTGGCTGTTTCGAATAAAACTGTTCTGCATGAAAGACCCCAATGGCTTCCAGCCAACGTCAACTCTAAGGAGCCTGTTGATTTGAATCGTACTACCAGCACTTTGTTGGTGCTCACCGCTTCCTAACCTAAGGGAGTCGGTTCAAACGGAAGTCTGTCACAAGTTGCACTTAACAGAATGTCACCGACGTCTGGCTATAAATGCATCATGCCCTGAATTACTTCCTCACGAATGACCATCTCCATCTTGTAGGTTGCGTTACCGGTATATTTGAAAATTTACTTACACTAAGTAACGAACTGTCAGCTGCATTACTCACGGATCGGTTTCCCCCTGTGCTGTCGCGTTTTCGTGCAATAAAACATTGTATATGGTTTCCTTCCCTTCCTAGCCTCCGTCAAACATCTTTTTACTGTCTTTGAAACCTCGTTGTCCTTGTTAAAGTAAATGGGAATAACCAGTCTCAAATGAGGGACCGTCGATAATTGGCCCAGATAACAAACCGTAGTTAGCAACGCTGACAAACGGTAAGATAGTTCTGATAGTGTAGAAGACACCGCACCGCATCGTAATCCTCGAGAGATTTCACTGAGGCGAATCGCTTCCGGAGAACCCACAACAGCGTTCCCTATCTTCCACAACCACCCAAAAAGAAGGTTAATGTCCCTGGAGAGGCCAGTCGTTCAGTGCTCGATCTTTGTAAAGTTACTGCACTCACCGAATTACCTGTCACGAATTGGAGCTTTCATCGACCACCATTATTTTCTATCCACTTTACGGTCTCCCGTAAGTGATACATTGCACTTTTCTTTATTCTGTCCCTTGTTCAACGATACTTTTGGATACTTTGGGAAATGAATCCCTAGGCCCCGGGTAGCTTACCAGCTTTTCTTCTGAGCTCTCATATACAACATTCAAAAGTACAAATTGTAAACAACTTAGTGTGACAACTTAGTTTGAGTCCGGAAAACCAATTTTCCTGTTTACTGCATCTACACCACATTTTGCTCCCATCTGAAGGTATGTCGGAAAGAGCTGAAACAGTGTCTCCAGTTGGCTGACGGAGACCTTGGTAAAGCAGTAAACTTGGCGCTTGATCGAGCGGAGCAGGCTACAACGGACAAGGCACAAAACCAGCCAGCTGACCGAGGTCAGGTAACATCTTCGATGTCGCCGAACCTTCCAGACAGTGAACCAAACGAATCTGCGTCTACTCTCAGTGCTGAGGAACGGATATCCATGCTCGAACGGTACGGTATAGTTCAAGCCGAAAGAACGGGGAGCTTGTGTCCTGTTCCCTATGTGAGTTCGTCCAAGATGTGTATTGTCGCACCTAGCTTGAAGACATTATCTGGTACGGTAACGAAAATTTTCAACGGAATTGGCTCAAAAACTCCTTCGAATCTTCAATTCCTCTCATGTGAACCAGCAGCACTTCCGTTTCTGGAAAGTTGCATATGTCCAAAACAGTTGACACATATTGATCAGGTTTAATGAAACAGATCGGTGTCCATTCAAAATAGCGTGGGACAACTTTGCCAGTCGAACCCAAGGGGTTAATATATCTAACTAAACAATACTTCAGTACGTTCGGAGCTGGTCTTTAAAAATTCTCACAGCAACCGGCATGTTGATGTTTTTATTGGTCACTGATGCACTTTCAGTGACCCTTCCTTCACCTAATATCGATGACAATCGTGCGGATGAAGGAAATTGTGCAAAGTTTCACTACTCATTAGCAGATGTACTAGATCCTGTGCATCCAAATCAACGTTCCTCCCTTCATCGAATCCGAAAATTTGCAAATTTCGAACAGCGCCACAGTTGAATTAGAGATAGTGATGGTAGAACATGACAAAATAAAACAAGATGGTAAAATAAGCAAAACAGTGAGAAGATACAGCTTCCGGTATTTTAACTTTTCTTCCACACGTTATCCTGGCATGGTGACGAACAATCCACAAGCCGCGCAGAAATAGTGTAGACACGGGGCCAGTTTGAAGTCGCTTTCAAAGCAGAAAGACATTCCGGATCAATACTCTCTGGCACACAAAACTGGTTGCCTTACGATTGCCTCGCTTGATGCTGCATTGGGTGTATCTCATCTCGTAACAGATGATTACATATTTCAGGTAGTCATTCGCACTTTTGTTGCACAACCCAGCGAGACTCTACTGTCAGTTTTGTGTGCACGAAAGATATTGACTCACAATGCTTCTCTATCTCGTATCGATTTCGGGCTGCCCCAGGGCGAAACCATCCGTGGGCTGTCGAAGAATTTTCAGCAACCTTATGAGTAGTGTATTACGTCTACGCATCTGTCATTATGTCTATCTTTCTGAGACGCTTTTAATCAACACTTTTCCATCAGTCCCTTTGCCGTGTGTTACTTGCGCCTTGATGGAAGTTCAGATGCACCCAGTTTTCAGCTCTCTTGTCTCTACGCCCGATTGAATGTTATTCTGGTTGTTCTGGTGTAATATTCGATTGTCAGCGAATTTTCCCCCGTCCTTACAGTATTTTAAAGAGACGCGCGTCAATCTACGAACTCGCCATTGCTAAAGGGCATTTCCCGTGATTTGTTACTAACTATGACACAAAACTGCTTTTCTGTTCTTACAAACCCTTCGGGATGTACGACTACTTAGGGTTAACATCACCGTGGAAGGGTGATGAAATATGAGGACCCAGGTTACTGGGTGCAGCCATTCCATAGCGTAGGAGAGTAAGTACTTGCAAGATGAACGCTTTCTTAGTCATATGAGGTCTTTGTACCCTGAATTTTGGAAACATTTCCGGGACTCAAATGAAGGTATGTAGTACTAACCGAAATAATCTCCATACTGGCCAGTAATTCTTGCCGATTGCCAGCTTGGCTGCCAGGAAATGTTTTCCGTTACTGAAGACTGTTGTTGCATGCATTTTTGATGCCATGAAAGATCTCAGGAGTAAACATCTAAATTAGATATCCAAATATGGCGCATCACTATGTAACAATAAAGAAGTCTATTGGTGGTGCAGTCCCACAACATAAAAATTTGATATCTAGAGCCAATGTTGTGGCTACTTTAATTTTCCCATGCTTCTCTATCTTCATTCTTCAGAGTAGCTTTTTTCACTTGGTTTGATCGGACATCCCATCATTTCCATCTTTGTTCATTAAACTAACGAGATCCTCATATGAAATACCTTGTTCGCTTTCCACTTCTGCATCCATCTTGACAGGTTTTTAGCGTATTAACAGCCCAGCAGTCTCAATCTTACACGTTGCATTAAGACAACAACGGTATTCATATTTGCCCGTGCACTATTGCACATATGTCCAATGAACCCTCTCACCATTGTGATTGACCATTTGACTTACCTGTGGCATCAGTTACAGGTACAACGGTCACCCTTTTCTCTTTTACCGGTTTGTCCATGTCAGGTCAAGGCGACTGACGTCCGTCATTCAACTGGACTGATAGAGTTTTCTCCATCAATCGGTTGTTAATGGGTCACTTGTTTCTCATTGATTTACGTGAATCCTAATAGTTTCACGCAAGGCTATCATCGTTGTTGCATTTACCAGAGTGTGGTGGTTTGTGTATACACTGGATAAACCCTTTCAGGGAAAACGTTAGGCGGTGTCCTCATAGGGAGTGATCGTCTAACGAGAACATCCTACACTCTTATCCTCAAAGTCACTGAATTCGAAGCACACTATTCGACCTAGGAAGACCTTGGTTTCAGTCTTAGTTTTTCCCTTGGAAACAATGAACCTGAGTAATAATGCAAAGTATGCTCCGGGGGCGCTTACTTCTAATAAAACCATCCTAAACGAAAGTCCACATAACCAGAAAAAAACAATTCTTTCTTCAAGCCTGAGACCCCACGAGTACTGCCCTACATTGTTTTTCATGTATTGAATGACTGATCACCCACCTCTACTAGAGAGCCAATGGCTGGAGACGCTGCTAAATGATAAGGTAGGTGGTTATTTCAGTTCACTTTGAAGTCACCTGGCTCGTATCCAAGTTTGAACAAGAGCAAATATCAAACCAAATATTGGCGCGAATGACAGACGAATCAAAGGCTTTTTGACCAATGCCTCCCGATGACCTGTAAAACAGCCTGGTGTTTCAGACACCATGGAACGCTGTTATGTACATCAGTAAACAGAACAAACAAATGTACCCAAAATTTCAGCTTTGCTATCTACTCTTGCAGATAAGGCATTGGCCTCTTCAGTCACGGTTATTCTCCCTGTGATGTTCAATCTCCGCTACCTCCCACTATAACCCAAGTGGTTGTGGTGGTTTGGTCGCTATCGCATACCAACCGTATTTGCGCCACATGTACTTTCATACTAGGTCGTCTTCTTCCACCCCTGTACATGAAGGCGCTCGCATATGCTATTCCACATGGCTCCACCTACAAGCTCACTGGTTTGCTGTCATGGTAGTTAACAGGGGAACTCAGTACAAATCCAACAGTGTCGCTGAACTCTACTGCAGTGGTATGGTTAAGAACACTCTAAAACCCATGGAACTGTTTACTCAAGACGGTAGATGAATGGGTGTTCGAACAGCTCGTTCGACCAAAAACAATGAGCAAGTTGACTGTGGTATGAATGCTTCAATTTCGGATCAGTTGGCTCTGCGCCGCAGCTCTGAAAAAGTAGATGTCATTCTGGAGGCGCCTCATTAGTAAATAAATCCAGGATCGGTTCCGGAATAACGACCATTTGCACTTGGTGTGGACATAGTATTCATGTTTTATGCATAGTTCGTTGACCACGCACGAGAGCTTGCCCTATATCTTTGCTGCCGGACGATTTGTGCAATTCACGGAGAGTCATTTGCAAAACGGTCCTTCGAAAGCGATCCGTGGATGAAGTAAAAATGAACTACTGATGCTGTTAAAATCACAGTGTCGGTGAATAATTATCATCGTTATAAGATTGGTGGTTTTTTTCTGTCGCTTTACTCACCTGATGGCGGTAAGGGATTAGAGCTTGAATGAAGCTTCCTAGGATGAATTGCCTTCCGGCATTGGTGAGTTTCAGTTTAGTCGCGTTTTACCCTAATCACAAATATTCATTATTCATTCAAAACAGCCCGCATTAGGCAGATAAATTTTCAAGCTAGATGAAGCATTCCAAGGAAACTATGCTAGTTTCTCTGGAATACCATTCAACTTACCACCATTCTTGAAGTATAGGTAACCAATCTCGTAAACTAGTCACTTGGACTGACAAACCCTTTGTGTCGAGAGCGAAACGTTGCCCAGCAGTAAAACTACCGATTGTTTCCCAAACTTTTCCGAAAACAAATACGAGTCGTAGCTTATGATCACAGCAATAGTTACACGAACGGTCGAAGATGTGCGGGACGGATCGACTTTCGTCATTGGTACCTCGGTCACCGGAACCTTATTATTTATTACTTGGTTGTCTCTGATTCTCAAAATCCTTGGATACAGTGAGGAAAAACTACCTTGGTGCGCATCGCGTGGCAAATTTTCTGGTAAAATGGTGCTTAATCCGCAATTCTACTCGGAAACGGTAGAAAAGTTGTCGCACTCATCCCCAGACTTGGAATTCCAGAGGCCAACGAGTCACATGCGCGGCAGGAATGAGTCGAACATCGCATTACTTCGCACAGTGAATGAGGGGTTGCAGTGGTCTGTGACATGTGGTACATAGTATAGACACAAGCCTAGCATGGCGTTCATAAACGAAAAGCAGCTTCCGGTAATCTCCAATGGTTCTTTGGTTGCTGAGATAGAAACAAACAGGTATCAACAAGTTCAACAACGTCCTGTGATATTTTACACAAAATCCGAGTTCGTCGTAAAGAATTGGTTATTAGCTGGCTAGAGTTGGATTATTGCCTTACCGTTCAGGCTGTTCCCCCCCCCCCCC